TTGTCTGTTTTCCATGTAACGATGTACATACGTCAAGTGAGTTCCCCACCCAATAAAATACATGTATCACCAGTATTTTACATCACACTGCTGTTTAAAAGTACTACCACGTTCAATCCATTGTAACTCTGGTGAAAGGATTTCACCTCTCCAACGCTATCCGATTGTTTGTAACTCATATTTAATTGTGCTACTTCGGTTCATTTTGCTCAATAGGCAGCAACAAATTAAAAGTGAACTTAGTGGTTTCACTGACATTAGCAGCCACGTCAACACCACCGGAGAGGGCCGCGCTGGCACTATATTTTGCATTTGACCGCATGAAACATTGTCAGGCACTAGTGTTCAGGGTGGAGGCAACTCCTGGTCATGGGGAGCGTGCTAACCTGCCGCTGTTGGTTACAAGATATTTTAAGTTTGCGGCCTCTTGAAATAAATTCATTGAATTAATACGCTTATTATCCTTTGTTAAGGTTAATGCGGAATTAACTTGTCGGCATATTGTGTGTAGAGTGTGTCAGTTTTTACGTGCGAGCAGCAATAATAAAACAGATTTGAGTGAAAACATTTTCTTTTGTTTACTCGTAAATCTGCTAAGTTTCGGTCGATTCAAGTGCATTGTGAAGAGTTCCAGCGTTTTCGCTGAGCCGCTGAGCCGCATAGACGCAGAGCCATAAAGGCGTAAGGACACGTACGGCACACGGTGGGCACCGTTTTTGTTGCAGACATCGTCACTGTAAAATATTCATTATGGCCTGTTTTAGTTGTTAATACACAAGTTGGTAGCTGGTCTCACCCAAACTACCGGGAATGTTTTGCACTGAATTATTGCTTTTATTCCGGGTGCATTTAATAATCTGCAATGTTTGCGAATTGTAGTTGGCAACTTTTCAAAATACTTGGAACTTCGAATCTACTAAGGGTGTTTAGTGGCTGCGTGTGTGTGTTCAGTGAAGTCTGTTTGTTGTGCTGCAAGTCAAAGAAGTTGCATTTGACATTTGACTATGAAAAGGAGAATGACAAGGTTTTGCATTTATGTCGTTAATTTATTTACAATTGCAATGCTCAAGTTGAGGAGAAAATGTGACATTTTGTATGCGGGCCAAAATACATGAAATGATTCTGTTGAGTAAAATTTAAGCTGGTTAAGCAGAGCAATCATAAGGATATGAAAATTTTTTAGATGGGATACAGGGTATAATAATCAAAATATACTTTTAAGAATTAATACATTTCACTTAAAAGATATATCAATTATTCATTCCAATCCAAGTAATATACAAGTTCGATAATAAAAAGACGTCCCTTTATAAAAAGATGTGCCTCCACAGTAATGGAAAGCTGATGTTGCTGGCGAATTACATGATATTACATCTCAACCTATATCATTATCTATCTATATGTGATATTAGATGAGAAATACAATAAACAATAAGCTTAGCTTTGCTATAAATTAAGAAGAGAATTTTATATCTGTAATTCCTACCTGCTTTTAATACCAACAACTTCACAACGAGAGGCATTCCAGCTTTCAATCGCAAGGCTATTAAAGCTATCCAGCAAATCAACAGAGGTCATTCGTCTTTGAAATCATTCTTAAGTGAAGTAAATATCTATAGTAATTAACATATTTTGTTTACATGTGAAGGAAAATGCATTTAGTTTTCTTAGACTGTTAACCATAAGAGAAAATGGATGTATAATCGGGAAAAGGGTCAGAACGGAAGTGTACTAGACGCATATATCGATTAAATATTTAAAATACAAAAATACGATTAAAAATTAATATCTAAGAAAGTAATACAAACTGGTTAAGAATAAGTACCCATATGCGATCACTGAGACATGAAGGCAAAAAGGTAAATTTATACGAATTCAGACTTAAGCTATGTAAATTGAGTGGGAAAAATATATATATTTGAGACATGAGAGAGTATCTTACTCTGGGTTAATAAATAAAAAGCATTGTGATTTTTCAGATCATCGGACCTGAAATCTCTTACAATCTCTTACAAACCAAGTACCACAATAAACCAACTTTCTAACCAAATAAGTTGATTCTTTTTGCTTTCATACTAAATAGAACACTGGATGCAAGTAATTACATAAACTTAGTGAAAGAGTTAGATATGAATAGTATCGAAGTAGATGGAATTAATAGAGTGAATGCTTTTGGCTAAATGCGAATCTTACGAGTGTGTAAAAATTTTGAAGCGAATCGAAGAACCTACTATATAAGATAGCTCGCTTACTAGTGACCTTCTTAAGGCAACTCAAACCACATGATATGATCATAACTTAGGCCAATGAGAAAAGTTCCTTTAGTCTACAAATACAAAAGTGCAGAAGTAGAGTTTTCTTTAAAAGTGATATTGACACATTAGATTATTTAAAAATACTTCTATTAATTGATGGTATAAAAAAAATTCGCCCCTTTTTTAATACATTTTTGAACAAACATTTTCTTTATTGAAAATTACTTTTAAACAAATATATATATTATTTATGATCAAGCCGTTTTTCAGTTAGCTACAAAATTCCATCAGTGTGGAGCTTCTGTGGTTTATCGACATAAACTTGGCCAAACGATTTGCAGTAGCTCATCGGTCGACTAATTTATTACCATTAAAAGAGTTTAACAGAGAACGAAACGAATGGTAGTCGGACGGTTCAAGATCCGGGGTAAACACTGAATACAACAAAACTTATCAACCAAATTTTTTCAATTTTTTCAGAGATATCAAAGATGTGTTTGGCCTGACATTGTTACAATGAAACATAACTTTTTTTCTGTTGGTGAATTTTTATAACTTTTCTTGGATTATTTCGTTCCAGTGGTCGAGTTGTGATCAGTCCCAAATTAACCTTTGCACCATGCTGGAGTAGCCCATAATAGTGGAGATTCACCTTTTTTATAACAAGAAACCATCACATACCCAGATGCACGAATATCAGCGCCATCTAGTGACAAGAAACAGCGAATGCCGTTTATATTACAATTAGTTTAATTATTATTTTTTTCATTATTGTAATATGCAAATTTGCTTTTTCTTTAAATAAAGTTCCGGTACACTGTATTTCATACCTGAATACAAACATAACCAAAGAGTTTCAGAGTTACATACTGAAAACTTTGAAGCAGTTTTGTTCGGTTTCCAATTATTTTCATCTTATTTTTTTTTTTCGTAAATATCCACACCCACTCCTCTCTTTCGCAAACCCAACTTAGCTCTGCATTAACTTAGAACTACTCATAAGTGTAGTATCCGAAGTACATTTCTTTACCTTCCAAGAAAGTCTTGGGAACAGTGTTGGAAAAGCTCCACTTAAACGCAAGCAAAGAAGAAGAAAAAGAAAGGAGAATAATTAAAGGTTAAAATATCGAACGAAATCATTAGAAAGCAGCACTTAACAGGTTTGCCATTGTATTGGCAAATGCAATTATTCGCGTTTGGTCTGTTACACTTTCGATACATGCAGTTTGACTCTAATGGAGTGCAGAACCCGCTATTGATACCTGCACGCCTGGATGCACTCATCGTTAATTGCCGGTGACTGTGGGCCGTTTGAGGCGGATTTCACTTCAATATATCCGAGCTGGCAACTATGCATGATTTGCGGGAGAAGTGCTTCATTAATTTTAGGCACCATTTTATGCTGCATTTACTTTTGTGCCGACGATATTGACAAAGCTAATAAATGCTTTGTGAGACAGCGAAATTGAACTTTCAACTGAAAAGAACAAATGAGAAAAAGGGAAAACAGAAATGGAAACGGAAACGGAAACAAACGATACGTCACGACAAACTGAAAAAATCATAAATAATTAAATAAACAAATGCTGCATTCTGGCAACGCTAAGACTTCGCCTCTGAATTGTGCTTGAGAAATGCTTAGAGCAGCTAAGAGCGACCTTTTGACTGCCACCAATCCTTTTGTACAACAACCAAGTCACGCTGTCAACAGTCGGCACTTCGCTTCCTCATGTGCCGCACTTGCAATGCCACTTGACTCAATCATTTTAATTATTTTCAAACTTTATTTGTTGCAGCGTGAAAACGTTCACAACAACAAAAATCAAAACAATTTGCCAAAAACGTTTTTGATTACGTTCTTGTTGTGAAATATTTTTAACAATGGCCAAAATAATGGCAAAGCGTCTATAAAGCCCAAGAAGAAAACACAATCGAGCAATGAGTTCCATTTGAGACGAGGCGTAGAGGCGACGAGGAGAGGAGGCGACGAGGTGAGGAGCCTAAAGGAGAAACAAAGCCAAAAGATTTTGAAGAAGCACACAAAGGAGCAAAGTGTGAACCTTAACTGCACTAATTACCCTTTGGCAACTGAAAGATACTTCGGAAAAATAATGAATTACAAGTTTGGTTCATTTCAAAAGTTGAAAGTTTGCAAATTAAGCCTAACTGCCTACGCTTAATCCTTTTTTCATTCCTCCAAAATGGAAAATATTAAATGCTGCAGACGACAAGGAGGATTTCCAACAAAATTGATTAGCCTGAAATAGCAGAGACCAGAGACCTCCTACGCAACCAATTTTAATCTAATATCTTTACTTTCTTAATATGTATCTTTATCAAAATGTCATGAAGTTCCGCATTATATGTATATCTATCTAACTCTCAAGTGCTCCAACTCTTATTCTTTTTATTTAATTTTTGCGACGAAATAAGAATTAACTGAAATGACAATATGAACTGCATTTCGAAATAGAGTGCTTGGTACACTGACATTAATTAGGAACCTCAGAAGTAGTTGACTGAAGTAGGCGACCATTAAGAGTAAGCACGAACTGACCATCATCCATCTTCGTATTTATTAAATTAGAAATGTTTAACTTAGAATTGTGGTGTTCGTAAGTGCAGTTAGTGTCGTGTTCATTGAGTACACATCATCAAATTAAATGAACTTCGATGCAGAATAGTATATCATTATATGACCTCATACCGATTTCTTTTTACTTCGCGCTAAAAAATCACACTGAATTTTCCGTTTCATACGACTTTTATTAAATCTCACTAATGATTATCAGTTAAAGCACTTATCATTTTTTAGTCATTTTTCTAACGCTAATCCGTTTTTACACTGTGTTTCACCAACTGCAGATTCTCTTTGATGAAGCACATACCACCACGATAAGCCCAAGTACAAGCGTCACTTCCCTGTGTGTTCTTATCAGCGCAATGTTCGATTTTGCCATGGACTGCATCGTTGTGATCGACATGTGCGTCTTTACCAGCAAGTTGATGATGGATTTTTTGCACATCGAAACCATGCACCGCATCGAAGAAACCAAACTGCTCGAAAACACATTTCATATAGCACCTGGTCACCTCATCATCGGGGTAGTTCCACACTTTATACTTTTCCACCAATTCAGCAGGCACATTTAGCGTAGTGGAGCAATGTTCACGAAATCTAACAAGATCGCTATGATCCCTGACAACGTAGTCCACATGTCCATGGTGATGAGCGGAGGCCTGTTGAAGAGATTAAGTAGAATATGAGCCACCTAAATGAAGATCCACCTAAATGGAAGTAAAGTGATTTTCCTTTACCAGAGCCGCGAACAGTAAAATCGCAATGAAAGCCTTCATTCTCGTCTGCTACTTGCAATGCACCGAAACCAGATGCAACTGTGCACTTTGCCGGTTTGTGTAGGTCTTTTTATAGGTCCACCGAAGCTACGAGTATGTTTTTGCAAAAATTAATTAATCACTCAGCCGCTGCACCGCAGAAACAATTGTCGCAATCAGTTGCAGTGTGGGCAGGAGCTGCTCGGCTCAGCTCAGTTCAACGGTTTATCACTGTTTGTATTGTCGCGCTGATTGCCAACAATTTCGTATTTTATTTTTAAATTAATTTAATTATATTTTTATTTAAATTTGAATTGAATAATTTTAAGAATTTTTGCTTTTCAGCAACAAAAATGTGTGTTTGATTGCAGCTTGGAACGATCAATTAATCTGAGATAATAGGTAAGTTGTGCTAATTTGATTTAGGGAAAGTACGCTTATCTGATGCCAGCATCATTCCTAGCAGTGATCCACTCTCTACTCTTTAGTAACACAGATTCCACAAAAATTATATTTCATTAACAATATTAACATTATAATTGTTAGCACTATACAGTGCTAGCCCTAGAAACATGTTTTTGATTTGATTTGAAACGAAGTTTATTCCTTCTGTTCTATATTCGAACAATTGAAACTTATTTTACAACATAAAAATTAAAAAACTGTACTGCAGTTTAGGATTAATCAACACTACAAAAAAATATCTGCCCGATATCATCATAAAAACATTGTCCATTGTATTAAAACAAAAAAGTGGTTTCTCGATCCAAAATGGCATTCTCTGCAAATACAGTTCCTTAAAACAACGGACGTTCATAAAAATTGTAGGCTTCTTAGGGCTTAAGTGGGTCGAATCTTCCACAAACTGGACGAGCACCTACGACTTAGGCCTTCCATTTAGGAAACAACGATTAAGAGAAATTTATCGCTATTATAACAACCCCGAAACGTACATCATCATTTCATTCTTACATAAAAATGATCACAAGAACATCTTAAGCATATGATGGTGGAGCATTCTTCTTAAATCTTCTTTATAACAATACTTTGAACTCTTTGTTGGAGTTATATTGCAGTGCCTATAAGGCTTTAACAAAGAGATGATTCATTGGGGCAGTACAAGATTCTAAATTAAAGAACCTCACCTCGCTCATCATCAAATCACTGAGATGATTTAGTAAGCTTCAAACTGTACTTAATGGTTTAGTTAATGGCACTGCAACGATTGTCCCAAAATTTAATTCTAGAATAATTCTAGAGAAAATTGTAGAGTTAGCGTTTGGCTTCTATTCTTCTTCGCAATAATGGCTACTGTCAAAATTATTTGAATAATGTTTTAGTAGAACTGCAAAAACTCATAGGTGTAGCTAAGTAGGGGCGCGACAAAGCAGAGTAAATGACCAGAAATGGTGGAATTTTAAAACAGAATAACGTTTTATTTATGTTCTAGCGGATTGTTGTCGTACGAAGCGACTGTTTAGAGGTGTCTAAGCTATTCAATTCAAAAATTCTGAATTACGTATTTTTTTAAATTAGCGTCTTTAAACACACACCTACGCTAATCTACATGTGATCGGCGGTGAATATCAAACGAAGACTAAAACTAGAAACAAAAACTGGTTGACTTACTAATATAGATGAGTAATTCAATATCAATTCAATTTCTTTTTTTAAAATTTAGTTTTTCTTTCACATTTAATTCAATTTTTATTTTTCGAACTTGAGACTTTAAAGCTTTATGGCGTACCATTTTTAGCAATAAATCTCTTACTGTGCTTCTGAAAATAAATATAAATAAATAAGTATAAATAAATTTTAACAAACAATTTCAACATCACCAAAGTCTTTTAATTATTATGATTATTTTATTTTCCTCCTCCTCCACAGGACTATAGCTACAGTTTTTCTTAAACGAACATTTTGCAAAGAATGGGATGAACTCATTCTGCATATTTATTTTAATCAAAAAGGTTTAATATTTAAATATATTTGCTTATAGTTACTTACGTTTATTTATTCAAATATTATCGTTTGGTATTATCTTTTCTACATTGCCTATTCCCCTCCAAAGCTATACATCTCTATTAAAATACATCACGGTTAGTAGTGTTACTACAACTGTCATATCAGACCAGCTCTTCCTACTGTTTGAAAGCTACTGCGTGCTTAAAGTTCGGAGATCGTATTATAGCAAAAAGAAAATACAATTATACGACCTTTAATAAAATTGCATGGAAATCAAAGACCGTATTGGCGTAAAAATACGGTCTGTGGTGTTTGTAACATTACGATCTTCGAACTGAATTTAATTAGATTTGCAGAAAAATGCGCTTGACAGCTTAATTTATTCCATTTACGTTGGTTTACGTTGGCATGGGTTATTGCTGTCTAAGTAAATGCCCCTATAAAGGGTTTTCGAAACAAGAGTAGAAATATTTCTTTATTGGTCTTCTCTTTCTGCAAGCAGTAGAAGAAAGAAAATGTTTGAACTTAAAGGGCTGACACACTTTCGGTCAAATGGCGGCATTTATCAACACAAAATCATGTGGCTATAATACCAGGTACCCACTGGAATCGCTTTTAAACATATTTGAACCCAGTATTCCTACTCTCTATTTGTTATTATGCAGGCCTTGCAAGCTATATTATTTTCGAATACAAATGATCTTGAATAAGTCTAAGTAGAGCTCACCTACCATTTCCATCGAAGGACCATTTCTGTCCAAATGCCACGTACACAGTTATTATGCACAGTCGATAGAAAATCTATACTTCCGCAACCATGAATGCCCTCTATATTCATGCCTTATTCATTGCATTTGTAAATATGGATATGGATAGTATAATCACGGAGGAGTCCAAAGTGAACAGGTTGTCTTGAAGAAAGGTGTTTGTAGCAAGACCATCTACACGAATTTATACATCTCGATATGGTGGGTCACGATTTTAACAAAAGGCATTTTTTGGAGAAATAAAAATTAATCAGCATTTTTGATATTCTCTCGGATATTGTGAATGATATATCCCGAGCTATTATATCAATAAGATGTTTTGTATGTCTAGCGCGGGATGACATCTTTTAGTTATGTTTCATATGTTTGTCGAACCTTACTCTGAGTCAGAAAAAAAAACTAAAGCTAGAACACTTAACTTTAACAATAATAAGAAACTTCTTCAAAAAATACTATCTATACGAAAAGACTATATACGATTAGAGACCTGCATGCATTTCAAAAAAATGCAAATTATATTCCGTATTATTATTATTCTATTTTTGCTTTGTTTTTATTTTTATTAGGATGAATACTTATGCTTTTATTAGGTTTGAGATTATTAATTTTGTTTTAAATTATTAGGTTAGGTGTTAATGCTGTAATAATTACTAAGTGATCTAGAAGTTTAAATAATTATTTACTAGAAAACCTTGATATAAACTTAATTTAATGCACTTTTACTCTTTATTAACTGCGAGGTTTCTTCATAACCCCTTTCTTCGCCTTGACTGGATTATTTTATTCCCCCTTCATCACAGTAAGCAATAACTGAACTCCGCTCTGCATACCTCCCCGAGGTGCCTGTAAGCATATATTTATTTAGTTCGTATATATATTTTTATTATTTCTATAACATCTTAGTATATATCTGCTAGCAACAGATGGCGCTGTTTAAGAGCCTATACATTTTTTATTATGAGAACTTTAAATAGAAATAATAAAAATAATATTTAAAGTAGAGAAACAGCATTGCTTTTTACTTGTTATTTAATATATATAAGTGTATATTTCATTTGACGAACACGACTTATATGATAAGCTGTCAATGAATGATGAATTTGAATTTCTTTCGAATAAAAATAAACTTTCCAAGAATATTATTTTTTTCTCTATGATAAGGTATGTTAATATTGAAATAATGCTGACACTCAATAAATTATTAATAAAACTTATTGTGCAATTCAAATAAATACTATAATTAATTAATTACGTTTGTGAAGCGTGAATAACCAAATGGAATTGCCTTCAATCCGATATGCCCCTAAAGGTGCTAACTGTGGCGATGTTAGTCTCTTAATTGGAGAATCGTTGAAGAAGAACACGAAGCGTTACATTAGAAATTCCAAACAATACTTGAACACAACAAAATAATTAAATAATAAAATAATTATTTAGTCAATGAGGTCACCTAATTGTCGGCAATTTGTTAAGCATACGGAAGTGAGGAAGTAAGTCTGGTGTACTAACGAGACCGATTGAAAAGTGTAGCAAACCGAAAGGAATCGTCAGAAGATTCAGCAAGAGTCACACAGACTTTGCTAGCAACGTGGAGAAACGTGAAAAACTGGTGTGGAACGTAGGCGAAGTGAAAGTCATTCACTAATAAATTGCAATTGCAAACATTCGACCAAACGTAACAACTCAACTTGAAGGTGTGAAATGAACTTCGCATTCAAAAACATACAAAATTTCTAAAGCCTAAAACGTTGTACGGAGCATTGAAAAAAGGTGGTTATGAATATGATGACGAAAGTCAAATGGATCCAGCAAAAGGGCACGAAACATTCTTACAATCATGAAACTCAACAATCGTGTTACTTAGAAAAAGACTTACAAGAGCTACTCATCTGCGTGATTAGTTAAGAACCTCACACAATTCACTGAAACATGCAAATTATCTGGGAGAGCAGAATAAGTAATTCTTTCAAATATTTCCATCATAAACTGATAATCAACTGAGTTTAGTCTAAATTATTGTCTATAGTTTATATTATAGACTAACCATGTGTACATATTTAGAAAAGCAGATCACAATTAAAAGGAAGTGAGGATACCTTTTTTATTTTTTCGACCAAAAATTCTTATTCCAAACAGAATTACAAGAGTTTTTAGAATTCTTTAAAAATAAAATAAATTGGAGTCAATACATTTTTTTTCAGTTATTTATTTGCATTTTACAGACCCACATCTCAATATAACCTCATCTGCCTATGAACTACTATGAACTACCATTGATCATTTCGCCTGGTCACCTGACATAATTACAATACATTTATCGCATATACCATTCAAAAAATAAAAAAGATTGAATAGATTTGGGTTGAATGGTTGAGAATGGGCTATGAGAATCGCTTTCAATATGCAAATGGAATGAACTACTTCACTCATTCAATCACAGTGCTGTTGCTGTGACGGACGTAGGGACCGCGGGAGGAGTTCAGAGCAAGCAAAACTTTAAATTGTCTCTATTGTTGCTTTTACAATTACAATCCAATAACTTTCAGCAAATAAACTAAAACCGAAACTTTTGTAAATGCTATTTACTACTCCGGACCATACAATTCCTTAAGCAATTACTTTGATTCGCTACGGAAACATTGAAAGTATTAGTAAGTGCGCTACTTGCAGAATTCTGGTGTGTTTAGTTTTAGGGAAATCAAAAATTCTGAATATAAAAAATGTGAATAACAATACAATGAGACATCACATGATATCTAGTATATGGCAAATAGATATTCTTTTGACTTACGCTTTCAATTAAAGACATAAATTAGGAATTAAGGAATGCCAGTTAGTATACTGAAAGCTAAATATACAATACACTATCTGTGTGTCGGTTTAAAATTGAAATGATATATCTTTGAATTTTAGTTATAACCTAATGACCCATACTTAAATTATACTTAAGTACCCAACTTTGCTGACTTAATTTAAGTATAAAGTCAGTTAAAAAAATTAAGTAACGAATGTATATAAAACTGGTTTTAAGTGTCTCTTTATTAACTTAGGAGATAAGAAGCAAAGAGCAGAGAATATATGAGAGAAAGAGGGAGAGAGGGAGTGAGGGAGAGAGAGATCTAAGCCAAAAACCAAAATATTGAAAAATTTGTAAGAATTCATGTCAGAGAGATCTGTTCTAATAGGGGAGTTTATTACCAATTATTTTAAGGACTCGAAGTACATGTGAATCAGTGAAAGAAACAAATATAAGCAGTTAAGACTGAATTTACAGATTGTGAACTGTCTGAATGGAGTATTCGAATGTTTATTAAAATGGAAGAAAATGATATTCAAAAAGTACTAGATAACTGAATGGAGATAGCTCAACACTAAAAAATGTTAACATTTCTGCATAAAACTTTCAAACGACTGAATGCCGATGATGTTGGTAATCATCTTTTTTTATTTTCCTTTATCAAAGGATTATTATTTAATTGAGGGAAATGTTTTAAATGTCAATGTAATAGCAGTAAAGAAACGTACTCATATTTGCTTTTGGGGAGGCTAATTTATAGTTACAGTTATAGCGTTTTAATGAAGAATAATGTTAATAATCATTCCTTGAATATCCATATTGGCAATGTAGAAAGAAAATTCTCTACAAACTTTCAATAATATCGAAATTTTGACATTTTTTACATGTTGGAAATCTTTCCAGTACACCAGCCTCAAACGATTCTCCCACTTCTTGATTATTTGTTTTGTACTGGCCCAGTTTAACCCACAAAAGGGTTGAGGGCCTATGAAAGCAATTTTTTCCGCAGATGTGTCTAGCTCATTAGCCTGTTCATTTCCCAAAACTCTCCTGTGACCCGGAACTCAGTAAAGGCTTCCCTTATTCCCTTATTCTAAATAATTAATGGATCGAAATAACCAAAATCTTTCATTATGTACTTTCATTATGTATAAACAATAGAATTGTTATATAATTTATATAACGTACTGTAGTTCCATGAACCAGCATGACTGACAGTTATTCTATCATAATTTTTATTTGAAAGAACCAAAACATCAAATTGCTTTTTCCATTGTGATTTATGTGCTCTAATCTGCTTATGAATGTTTTGTGCTGAGGCTTTCACTAAATGCCAAGACTTCAATTGTTGAACTTTCAAATCGGAGGAAAGAATCAAAACAATGACTTCAACAAACATTATTGGAAACAATAATAGGAACACACAATTTCCATTGTAGTTGCGTGAAGAAGCACAAATAATTGCTTTTGATTGATAAAATTATTCGATGAAAATACGGAATTGAACGATTGACGATTTGGTATTTCCCAATGTATCAGATCGGAGCACATTACTGCAAAGAAGTGGGGAAGTGAATTGAATGAGTTTCTTTATTCTAATGAATATGACTAATTAGTTAGCAAATAATTGGAGCACCCTCAAGTCTTCATAGTCAAATTCTAGAAGCATCGCATCCATCAAAATACAATGACTTAGAAACCTTTTTCTTCCGAATCGCACGATTTATAACTGCGCCAACTAACATCGCAGTCTTACTGTTGAATTGTAAATGTTTTTAACAACAACAGCAACAACAACAGCGTCAGCAGCAGCAGCAACAATTGCACGATAACAACAAGCAACAACAAGCAACAACATAGCAATACGGCAATACGGCAACAGAGGAACAGAGCAACGTCAGTGGCAATTGTAGCAAAGTGAGCACGAGTATAAAAGTTTGTGCTCCCATGCGATATGGTTCAATTCGCGGTCGCGCGATCTGTTGACTTGGTTTATTGGTGCGAAGTGGCTCAATTTGTTTGTTAACAATTTTTCAAGTGGATTAAAGTACACGGCTACACGGCTACGCGGCTACAGAGATAAGTACTTAGGCGAGCACATACAGACCCACTAACTTATTTGCATGCTCGATTTTGTACCACATTTTGAACGAGTAACCTTCAATCGAAAGACAGACCGAGACTCAAGCAGTCAGAAATACACACTGGCGCATGGACGTACGGACGGACGGACAAGTGTTCGCTAGAAATTGTGCAATTTAGAGCTCATAAATTTGCATTTTTGTTATTGTGTTGCTTGTATGCAAATCGAAAACGGTTAAAAAGTGCATTCGTCAAGTAAATAGAATAAATTAAGATTTTAATAAAAAAAAAAATTATTAAAAATCCAACTGAACTCATTTAAAAAAACATTAACGTTCGTCCTACAATTGTTTTGTATCGAAAAGTACCGATTGTGCATAATAAACTCCGGAAGGAGAAGTGAATAATTCAAAAACACAACCAAAACGGAACTCTTATAGACAACAACATGAATGCAAAGGTAATCCAAATATATAACACCAAATAAACACAAATAATAAATTTAAATCAAATTATGAAAAAAAAAATAATATGAAAAACAGAGCTTCTAAGAGTTCCGAGTACATCCACCTAACTTTTATTTGAATGACTTAAAGTATTATCTATATCATCATTCCTCACCTTTAAGTATATAAAGTATTCCCTACACGGAGTTAAAAACACATCTTATCCAGATGATAAAAAGTATTCCATACATAAAAAAATGTTCTACAGTTTAGGCAGTAATATTTCTATGAAGATCAAGTTTGATACACCACTCTCATTCTACCAAGAAATATAGAACGACACAAGTCACACAATTAAACAGAAATCAGTTATTCACGGCAACAACTGTCAAAGTTCCGTTCACCACTCTCCCTAAAGGTTCTACGTTTATCATAACTAAATTGGGCCATGTATTCATATTAGCGTCTAAACATATTGATTCACTTCTATGTGGTTGGATTTTTTCAAATTTTGCTCTCTTCCTCTAAATGCGTAGAACTGAAAAACAAAGCTTCTAAGAGTTCCGAGTACAACCACCTAACTTTTATTTGAATGACTTTAAGTATTATCTATATCTTCATTCTTCACCTTCTTTCGTAATGTACCAGAAACACTTATTTCAAATATTCATACCACAAAAAAACTATTTGAATTATTGTCAGAGATATATCTATATCTCTAGATTTGCGAAAATTTATTACTCAACACCGACCTCTAATCATGCAAAATACAAAAAAGTTATTCACTCTTAACGACTAAACTCGTCGGAATAGGAGACGTCCTATTTAATAGCTATCCACATGCAATCGTTAGAGATTTATACAACCTTCACAATGAGAAGAAAATAATTTTCTTTATTATTAAACCTCAATGTCCTTAAATTAAATCGATTTTTTACTATTGCAAAATGGTGGTAGACTAAACATATAGGGAGTGCGGATAGAAAAGAAATGTGTAAAGTTCTTTCTCAAATTTACAAAGACGGTTTCTCAATCACATGTTCTTAATAATTATTAAAATTAAGTAATTAAATTGAAAAAAATTCTCATTCAAATCAAACTTTTATCCTATATTCTTAATCTGTTAAGTTCAATGTCCAATGTTTGCTTCAGCAAAAAGATAATGCTTAATTTTCTTAAAACAATCGGGACTATTGTATCTATATATCCACTAAAATGCTCATATGCATTGCTTAAGGTTGTAATCCAAGACTAATAACTTTCTTAATCTTTACGATTCTTGAACCACATTAATGGAACAAATCAATCATATTCTTCTATCTTCGTATACATTGGAACCATTAGCTTCAAATTTCAACTAAAAAAAAATAATGAAAAGGCCAAATAATGTAGGCCATCAGTGATATTAAAAATAAATTTTAATGTTATAAAAATTCATTCTGTCGGTGTTTCTGTCATATCATTTCGCAAGCAATATATTTTTAACTACACATTATTATTATAAAATCTTTCACACCATAACTATAATTGCTAACCTAGGAACAGACAACCCTTCATTGGGTTAGAGATTTGCTTTTAATTTAAAAGATCGGAACGCTTTTGTTTCATTGGTAGTCTCCATTCTTAATATCTAATAATTATATTATTATCTCTAAGCTATCGATCTTAAAATCAAAGTAGAATATATTCAAAATCTCTGTTCAGAAGACTATATTTATTAATTTTATTTATGGAGAATGAACTCAATTTTAAAAGTACATTGATTCACTTACTTTAAAATTCAATTAAATTAAAACACAGGATCTAGTAAAGGTTCACAGAGCCTAGAATAAGCAGCTTCAGTATAATATGAGTCTTGTTCCACTAGGAATACTTTCAATTTACTTTAAAAAGCTTAGATATATGCTTCTAACAATGTCAGACTCAAGAGTACAAACCCATAAATGTGAAAAGATTTATCCAATTATGACAATCAATATATTAAATTTAGGAACTCTCTATTCTGGAAGACAGCACTTATAATCCTAATAAGTTTCACTATATTTTGTGTTTGGAATGAGATAGCTTACTACTCAATGTGATTCTTCATATAAATTGATATATGTGAGAATTCATCCATCGGTTTTTTTTATCAATAGTAGTAACATTAAATAATATATATATGCTATGCTAGGCTCATAAGTAACGAGAGTTTGAATGATAAACTAAGATGCCAAGACAGAAGAGATTTCAACCATTTTTAATAGGGCTTAAAATTCTGTTGTGCCATAGGACACGCATGGGCAACATATATGCATGTGAAGCATACTAGTAACCTACTTTTGAAAGCATCTATGGTCAATTTAGGTACTATTCCCTAGAATAGTACCTTTAGATAATTAAACCTACGAAATGGTTTTACCGTCTCCGAAAAATACGGCAACAAAATGGGAAACTCAGTCCCAATAGAATTAAATGAGATTACTTTGACAAACTAATTCTAAATCAAAAAAATCAAAAATTCTCGATTAATTTATTAAGTCATTAGTCTGCAATTTATTTATTTGTAATATATTTGATCATTTCATTCAGAGGCAATGATCTAAAGAACACCACCAAGTACTGATATATAGATCTTTCTTCTCACCAAAGTTGAAGTTAGTATCCAAACTTTATCGAATAACTTCTTGTGATACTTGCGAAATTCTAAATATGAATAAGGCTGTTATTGACACCATATTCCGAAACGTGCAGAAAGCACATCGTGCTATTAAAATGGTTCAAAAACTTACTTGGAAGTCTTACTGGCATAATAGAGTAATCAGTGGCTCAATTTAGGTAAAGTTTTTCGATTATAAATATGTTTCTAACTTATCTACTCAACACATATCACCGAAGAATTATAAGAATTATTTATCGTATGCCATTAATATTAATCACTACTAAATAATTATTTTAATTTTTTAATAAATTTTTAAAATAAAATAATACTTTTCCATATATCTGATTTGCTGCAATTTATTTTGACGATCCTCCGATATGTATTTGATTACCTCAAACGTCTTTAAATTAAATGCATATTCCTTGTCACAGTTGTCATACTTTTTAAACTGTTTTGACTCACTGACCCCACAAACTGTCCCAATTTCTTTGTGATCGTTACGATTCATTCGAAGATTAATCGTTACTATTTTTGCTATTGTCAAAGATTTATGCGATCCATTGTCGTGAATGGATAAACTTTCCCAAGCAACAGAAGAAATCAAACAATTTATTTATTATTTATTTTTTTCTAAAAGGTATTTAGAACGGTTTTGATATAATGGAGTGTGGCATACACTCTGACTTCGTGGACCAACAGCGAACTTCACAAATGTGGATAACATTTCACCACAGTTCAAAGCAGTCGCAGTCAAAATTCGTTACACTTTCACTTTTCTATCAAACGATCAAGAAACCTCAAGTACACAAAATTTAAACGAAGTCATGCGAGATCAAAAACAAAAAATTGTAGTTGAAAAAAAAAAAAAATAATAAAAAATGCAATTTCATTAATTTTAAAAAATTACTAACGAAAAACAAATAAACACGACTTCAACGAAATGAAACGTTTAAAAATTTGATGATGAGTTGTTGCTGAAGCGACGGTGAAGAAGTGGTGGTCTGATTGAAGATGTTGAGATGTTAAGATGTACCCTATTTCTGTCTTTCATAATTTTATAGATGCAAATGGTTTTGTATGAAGAAAATCTTGTAATGCTCTTTATTAAAAGCATCACCTCTGTGGCAAGATTAAAATTTTTATCTCATGGTGGTTTCATGCAAATTCAATGGGAACCTCATAAATCGTCGCACTTCCCTTTTTCTTTTCCATTTTTTTTAAACGGTTTGTTTATTAGGCGCAGTGTGCTCAGCTTCATTGGCATTAGAATGTCTTCTGCGCCAATTTCGATTATGTGATACAATCCAAAGGCAGCTTCAATCCAATTGAGCTTCAAAGTCTCCTCGAATTGCACGCGCCAGAGTAAGACCTATCACAATACAGATTTCTGAATATTTTTTTGATGGAACTGTTTTAGCCATTCACTTGGCTTCTTTTAATGGCAATAAATCATGAACTCGGCTAAGTTTACTTAGATTTTCTATGAAGCTCAAATGTTCTGTATTCTGTACTACAACTGCTCAACCGAAGGCCGAACTAAGAGCTATAAATACATTTGAACCCAGAGTGTATATCCTATGCAGTTACCATGTTGAATGGGCTTAGGAATTAAAAATAACAGAAAATCGAAAAAAGTTAGCTTGATGTATTCGTACTAATACGAGTACGAAATACGCTATCGGAGCCGAAATACGGACCGGACAAAAAACTACAAAAGAACTATTCGCATGCAACTTTTAAAGCGCGAAGCTTAACGTACTCGCTAGCTTAACATTCACTGTTCTCTCTAATCCACTGTCCAGTGTTTTGTTTGGACTTAAGTAAAACTTGTTACCAATCCACTGGAAAACAATTGCAGTCTTGTCATATTTACTTACTTACATGTTGCCTTTATTCCGCGCTACATGCTGTGAAGGTTAAATGGGCTTGTCATAACATTTGAACTTGTTGTACTCGTACGTACATTGTCAGAGAGACAGGCACATGCTGATGTTTGTATTTACATACGACTTCATACGACTTCATTTATTGTATATATATGGTACATATATATGTTTTCATGAAACGGCAAAAGCACATGGCTTAATTGAATCAGCACATTGACATGATGAAAAACGCTTATGTGGGATGTGGAAGAACGAGTTAATGCGTATATTCTGGCTGACGAAAGTTAAAATCTAACGTTGAACTTAGAGTAATTTGCCTTTAAGATGCTTAAAACCGTATTTCATACAAAGTTACAAAAAGCAACTTTCTAATAGGATATGCAAGTATCCAATATTTGCAAGCGTTAAGTAGTAAGCACTTGTTTGAATGTCTCCAAGAAAAGTGCATAATAATGCATAATTAATTACGAAGATCAGGGAAGCAAGA